CCCAATCGGTAAGATTTCGATCGGCTGACTGTTTTTTGTATCGCTTATTCTCTCGATTTCTTATTTTCGTACACAGCATTGCCACGAGTCGTGAAAGGACTCTCATGTGGCGCGTGCGTTTCACGCACTGATATACGCGATTATATAAGCGCGTATTAGTCTGGAGCGCGCGGACTATTTCTCATTTTCGACACAGCATTGCCACGAGTCGTGAAAGGGCTCCTATGTGGCGCGCGCGATTATTTAATCGCCAACGACCTTTATTTTCCCTTCCTTAATACCTTACCCTTCCCTTTCCTAAACAAATCGCGTTTAATCTGACTCGATCTTAGCTTAGTTCGGGCGGTTATTGCGTGTGCCGAGAGGCTGGATCCCAGTTGTCCGATTGCCTAGATTGTTAGACATCGGCGGTGGGTACCTTCTCTCTCGTCACATCTACCAGCCTTCTCGATAGCCCGGGTGACTTTTGATATCACGTGTATGGTATCCGCCCTGGTGATGCGACCTGAACCGTTGGCTATGCGATGGTTGAGTCAATTTTAGACGTGATTTCTAAGAAACAAGAGACGTCGAATTCAAGTCAGTCGATTCGTCTTCTTTCGCTTCGGCTCTAGCCTTTGCTTGAAGAGTTACCGTGTGTCCCGAAAAGCTCACCGACTCGGGTGCTGACTGGACCGACGGAACTTGAATATTTTCACGGGCAGCTAAAGTTAGTCCGCGCGCGATTATAATAATTCGCGAGTGTTTTTCGCGAGTGTCCTGTGCTGCGAGGACATCCGACGACCCGACACCTTGAGAGGAGGAGGAGGAGGCCTAGGAGAGGCGTCGGGCACCGGCGGAGCAACCTTGCGGTAAGTATAAAGTTTTTGTCAAGATGAAATTATTTCTTTTTTCATTCATTTGGATCACTGAATTTCAATCATTCAAAATTTATAGTTTGAGAAAGAAAAATAATTTAAAGTTTAATATGCATTTATTTCTATAAAGATCTTTTTTGAAAATTATTAATTAATTATTAATAATAATTATATTTATTATATAATTATATAATTATATAATTATATAATTATTATATTTATTAATTATTAATTATTTTCATAAATATCTAATTGAAAAACATCTAATTGAAAAATATCTAATTGAAAAACAAGTAGATTCGATATATGTACAAATTTTTTAAGTATCTATTGTTTCAAACGTTAATATAATTTAATTCTTTTTGTATGTTACAGAATCATCGTAGCTACGTTGCAGATTAACTCCGCTGTTGCGCATCGGATCGGTGAGTGATAAATTTTTTATACTGGGATAACAAATCTATGAAACTTATATTAGATTATTTTTATGTATTTATAAAGTTTTGCAGTTTATATTTTCATAGATTTGTTGTCCTAAAATGGGTAGATTTAAACAATTTAGGATTGTATATTTAATCTTGGTATGACTACTGATTTATTATAATGCACTTGTACACACACAAATAGAGTTCTTCATATCGATTTTATTACTTTGCATTGTTTTCCATATTTCATTTGCGAGAATTCATTTGCGATGTATTAATTGCTATAAATTATCAAACAATCTCGCAAGAAAATATAATATAATTAAAATAAGTAAAAATTAAAATAATTTAACTGTTTTAAGAAATTAAATACTTTGTATCATATAAAGTAATAGATATTTTTAAAATAATAATTAATTTAATTGAGTATTTTTTGGAAATAGTTGAGTATTTTATGGAATTTATTAAGTTATAAAATTAATATATAGAATTTATTAAGTTCATTAAATTTTCGAAATAAATAGTTAACAATTAAAATCGCGTAAAAGAAATTTAATTAGTATTTTTTTTAAGTATTAAATTTTCATTTTAAATGTTTTTATGATATATATTTCTCACATTAAATGAAAAAATATAAATGGAAGTATAAAATATAAATATAACTATGACTCTCTCTGTTGGATTGGATTACTATGGTTTAAAAAATGGTAATCTTTGAGGCCCGATCGCCACTGCCTGAATTGATTGGGCATTGTGTCTAGGACTATCCTAGACTGAGCACATTAGACCAACAGCCCAGTCGGGGCAGGGATTAACTGGAGGTCACGGTCCTCCGATCTATCCTGAGCTCACATTCTAGGCGTACGAGACCTTCGGGAAATCTCTATTGCGTCTATACTGCAAGTTGCCCAACGGAGGCTTAAAGTAGTTTGAGAGTAGGCATGTACTCTCGCCTTCCGGAGGAAACGTGCCCTTGCAGAGAAGGTTTGTCAGGTGTCCTGGCTTTACGAAGTCCAGTGCGCCGGGCTGGCGTTTGTTGTTTGGACCCGTGAGTCCTAGCGGCCTGGAAACCGCGTTGTGCTGGTGTCTATTGACGTTTGGGCATGTGTCGTGAGGGTTGGAATGAAAAGAGAGCCATAGTTTATATTTATATGAAATAAGAATATAAACATATTATGTATTTTTTATTTATTACCCATCTTTCCTTTTCCCATATTTTTAATACCAAGATTAAATATT